CTTCTGACCCTAGAAACTATGAAACTATAAGAAATAGCCAACATAGATGTGTTATGCATAAATCATGTGAAACCAACCTAATTTCCTTCTTTGACAGAGTAACAGGCACTATGGGTAGGGAGGAAGCAGTAGATGTGCTATGTCATGACTTCAGTGAGGCTTTTGTCACTGCTTCACAGATTTATAAGCAAACTGGGGACATATAACCTAAAGGAAATGACTCTCAGGTGATGCGCAGCTGATTGGAAAAGTGTCCTGAAAGAGCAGTAATCACTAGTTTTCAATCAAACTAAAAGAATGTAACAAGTGGAATTTTGTGAGAGATGGCCATGGTTCCAGTATACATCAATATTTTTATTAATGCTTTGGGTCAAGCAATAAAGAGTGCACTAAATTTGTAGATGATACCGTGCAGGGAAGGCCTGAAGGTACTTTGGAGCACAAAATTAGAATTTTAAATGATCCAGCCCTTGGAGCTCTAGCAAATGGCCCAGCTTTAGTGCAGGAAATTGTACTGGGTGCCTGCTGCCAGGTGCCTGCCATTCCCTGGACTTATAAGGAGCCCAGTCCTTCCTTTTGCTGAGCACTGGGACTGTTGTATAAAAATAGAAAATTCCTGAGCTATGTGTGCTCCCTTTGTCCCCCCTGCTTCCTACCTGTGGCTGACCGCTCAAAGCAGCCATGCTCAGTTGAGTTCTAGTGAAGCTCCATGGGAGGAGGGAGTTTGTGGGGGGAGGCACAAAGCATTTTGGGATGCTGGAGGACTGCAGGTAACTTAAAGTTGGGAGGGGATCTGGGACAGAAGTTTGATAGACTGGTTCAACCTAAATCAGTTAAGTCCAATACTACATCCATCCAGGTTTATCTTAAGCCAGTTTTGGCCATTTTGAAACTAGTCTGCTGTGTGCGCTGCACTTCTGTTCTGTTACAGGTTTAAACTGGTTTCCAGTCACTTTTGTCTCTGATTGCTTATGTGTAATTCCTGTCCCTAATCACAGAGAGCAGTGAAAATGTGGGGAAAAATAAGTTGTTTCTTACTTGTTCCACAGTCTTTCTCTCTCTGAACAAATTACCTTCTTAGCTTACCTATAGGACTTGGCACATGGGGAAAGACTGGTTGTAGATAAATGACATACCATACTGACACTGCTGCTGAAAACATACCTGTATATTTGCCAACAAGGCTAGTCAACACATGGGTGGTATATTTGATTGTTCATAGTTATGTACAGAGATTACCAAGACTCAAAGCATTAAAATACTTAAATATCCTTACCAAGGAGTCTGTGTTGCCTCTGCAAAAATTCATGTTCTTTTGGTATATAGGTTCTGGGGGCCAAACCGTCTCTTCCTGAGGGTGATGAAGATGGTGATGAGACAGCTGATATTATGAACAGAAGAACTGCTAAACTGTACATGGTAAGCAATTAATTTTCCCACTTTTGCAGCTAGATACACTTGAAATAACAACAGTCATATATATAGTATCTTTAAATCTGCTACATTCTGGTTCTAGGCCCTGAATCCCAATTGTGTCAATTTGAACTCGGTGAGCCAGAGCTTCATCAGGTGTTAATCACCAGAACTCAGTTGAATTCAATACAGCCATATTTTTTTTACGTTGTTTGGCTCAGAACATTTTTTTTTTGTTTAACAAAACTATGGCCCAGAGCCAGGATATTGCATCACTTGGGAGACTTTTATAACATGTTTCTATTACGGTTTATGTACTACAAGACATGGGTGGAATGGTTAATAACTTTTAAATTAGGTTTTGTGAAATATTTTCAAATCAAGAGCATGGCTTTGTCATATGATTTAGTTACTCTAGCACAATTTAAAAGATGTACTGTGGTATTTACCAATGAAAATCCTGAGAAGTTTGTGTGTGACACTATTTGCTTTGCTGTTCCTTCCCCATAGGAATTAAAGGTAACTGGCTTAATGTTAAGCCGATAAAAATGCAGAATAATTATCAACAGGGAGAAGGAGTTAGGGTGAAATTGTGGCTCCATTTAAATCAACGGGGATTTGCCATTAACTTCAAAGATGCCAGGATACAGGAGGAGTTGCTTGTGAGGAGATGATGAGGCCCAAGAGTCTCAGCAATTCAGTAGGATCTATACAGCCTGTGGAAGAATTTACTTATTTTTTAACTATGAATCATTCATAGAATAAAATATTTGACTAGCAGGTAGGAAAAAAGGATTTATTAAGTTAGTTGCAAGAAAAAAACCCAAAACAATTGCAAAGATAACAGGACAGCTCCCTGTGTTGTCACCTAGTATTCTCTCTTAGATACTGTTTTTGCTTAAAGCATGGTATTCTTCTAGTTAGAGTTTATTATGTTATATAACCTATGTAAAAGTCTACAAATATACTTCATTTCCCAAGTGTAAGGATTAGAAGAAGAGTATTTTTTCTGGAAAATTTTGGGGAGTATT